CTTACTGTTGTGCGCAAGAAAAGGTTCTGCTTGAGGGATTTTTACCCTTTTACTTGAATGGCAAAATATATCTTTTGGGATTGGGGATGGGGGAGAAAAAATGGGAAGAAAAAGAACAAAAAATATATTCTTATAATGTTTTCGTGTTACAATGCTATTCTAAAATACATATGTACATAAGTGCCTTGGGCCCTTGCTTCAACCATCTGAAGAAAGTGCTAAGACTTTCCCAATGTATAGAGTGTCAAGTCTCACATGATTTGGACAATTTCCCCAGGGTCACAGAGCAAATGAGCACTTACTTGAGTTGGGCAACCAACACAGACATTCTGACTTTTGGTGATTAATCACTATGCTATCCTGCACTTATTGAGAATTTCAGGGAATCTAGGGATATTTGACATATTTTCTACATGCCTAGTCAGAAGAGTAAGAAAGTCAGAAATAGGGTTGATTTCTTTGGTATCTGCAGATGGGATAAAAAATGGACTAGTAGAAGTGAAGGCCTTAAGGTCATGTGAAAGTTCATCTCCAAGTGACATCCCAGCGGTAGGAAAATTTACTCATTTTGGTGGGTTTCAATAGCAAGTAAGCCATTTACGGAAAGAGGAAAATTAATTAGGTATCATAACAATTAACGATTAATAGAAAAAGTTCTATGGTCTATCTAATGTAATTCTTTATAAAAGAAAAAACACAGACATAATATTTAAAGCTCAAGTTAAAATAAAGTGTGATTTTCTTAAAGGTAAATAATAAAATGGCTAACTTGCAAGACTTATAGGCTGTCTCCCCTAGAATTAACCATGGAGAATCTACAGAAACAAGGGGCAGGTATGAATTAGAGGGATTAACAAACAAATAAACAAATAAACAATTTGTGAGAAACTCTAAGGAGAGGGACAGAAAGGAGAAAAACTTGTGTTCTTCCTGCTTTGCCCCCAAGCTAGCATGTGACAAGCACTGTAACAGAAAGACAATTAGCCAGTAAACATTTTTTTTATTTAAAGGCAAATTACTGAAATAGATGCACCAAGATTTAAAATAAGTAGTCATAATAATAATACTTACAACAAATATACTTAAAATAAAGACAAGATCAAAAAGAAAAAGAAAAGAATTATGAAATGAAACAAATGGGGTTTTAGAGGATAAAAGAAAATAAAAAGATGAATAAAAACAAGCGAGGGTTTTTGAGGAGGGGAAGGAGGAAGAGAACCCCAAGGAGGCTGATATCTCCGGGTCAGTTACCAACCCAGGGACCTTCCCTGGAGAAGCACACCCTGATTGTAGGTTTATCTATTTTAAGCAAGAATGAACTATTTTAAGGTTTGTATCTGCAAATCTCACTTTTCAAAATGTCAGAGACTGTTAAGAACATTCTTTTAAAGCTGGTCTCCCAATTTTGAGTGAGAAAATTTCCATTCTCTCCTGTCTCCAAAATTCTTTTTTTTAAAGTTTGTTGGGGAACAGCGTGTTTTTTCCAGGACCCATCAGCTCCAAGTCAAGTTGTTGTCCTTCAATCTTAGTTGTGGAGGGCACAGCTCAGCTCCAAGTCTAGTCACCGTTTTCAATCTAGTTGCGGAGGGCACAGCCCACCATCCTATGCGGGAGTCAAGCTGGTAACCTTCTTGTTAAGAGCATATGCTCTAACCAACTGAGCCACCCGGCTGCCCCCAAAATTCTATTTTTTTTTATTGGGGTATTGGGGGGAAGGGAACAGTGCTGGGGAATTGGGGGTAGGAGAACAGACAAGTTGCTGTCGTTCTGATCTTCAGTCTAGTTGTGGAGGATGTTGCTTCACTGGCCCAAGTTGGCACCATCATTGCGCTCTTCCTGGGCAAGGCAGATCAGTCGCCGGCTTCTGGATGGC